CCAGAAATGCGAAACTGTCTTCACAGTTAAGTGTTCCATTCATTAACGGCATTGTAAATAAAACGCTTTTGTCCCCAGGAGCGACGGGATGGAGGCTTACAACATAACTTCTTATTTATGTCGTGACTAGACCTGTAAAGTAGCTTTTTATGTAGTTAAGAGTCAGTCACTTTAATAAAGTCCTACTACCTACTGCTACTTGGATAAAAGGTGCGTTCACATTACTGCCCAGCGAGAATTGTACTAGGTCACCGTGCTCGGGCACCAGGTGTGAACATAGTCTAAAAGCAAATTTATTTACACGCACTGTGATGCTTTCGAATGAAGCCGAAATTCACGAATGATTGGGTCGTTGTTTGATATCATGATTGTAGCATCAACCGATATATAGTGGTTATAATGATCCTTCAAAATCTATTGGAGAGTATTATTTGAAACTGGGAATGGGAGAGCATTAAACCTCATTAAAAGGCGCGAGTCAACCCCGATGTTGTTTGAACAATATTCTCCATTTCCTGTAAAATTTTACCTGTTGTGAAGGAGTTTTTGTCTTTTGGTCTTTGCTGTGAGCTTGTAAAGCGTCTTTTAGTTTCACCAATGAAGACAAAAATTCAGTTTTACCGGATGAGGTAGCTTGTTTCTGAAATGAATGAAGATACAATCAAACAATTATAAACTAGGCATGATGTGTGTTAACGTGGACTTGTGCAACAAATTAGAGGAGGTACTATCTTTTGTTCTTAGGCGTACCCTACGGCTCTTGCACGTCCCAAAAATATTTAAAACCTGAAATTTGTTTGGTTCAGTAAGTTCCGTTGATTGTCAAAATATACGAAGAGTAAATATTACATCGAAAGATAAAAAAAAAAAAATTACCGGTTCATGCTTTTAGCTGTGCGTATATCGCGTTATGGATGCGCTCGGGAAGTTTGGAGAGCACTCAAGAAGCTAGAATTGCTCTCGGCTGCCGCTTCTTTCGTGCTCCCCAAACTTCCCTCTTGCATCCATCAACTGTAGCAAATCTTTACACCCCTCCCCCTTTTCAAATATACCTGTGATTTCCCTGAACATTTCTCAGTGTTTTGGTGCGGAGGTTGCTCCACCGTTTCTCGGCTAGGAAGTTTGTTTCTTTTCGGACCATCTCTTGTGCTTTCAACGTGGCGACCATCACGTTCTGTTCTCTGCGTTATATCAATTTTCGCCTTGTGCCTTAAGCTAAGCCGAGGGCACTGTTCCCTCTGAATACTTCGGTATCCCTCGGAGCCTTTGAAACTGTCTGCAGCTTCTTTTTTCCGGTCGATGAGGACATTTTCCCGAACCTTTCTGTCAGTTTCTTCGCTCCTGCTGTTATGTGCCCTGTCTACT